AAATCCTTATTTTCTTCAGGTTATGTAATTTATGACCAAAACTAGATTTTGTGTTTCTGGTGTTTAAAGACAAGAAACACAAAGTTCAAGATCACATGACTCTGTGTCCGAGCCAAATAACCTCTCATGGGTCTGCAGAGTAGAGGGACTTTCGGCTCTTTTCAGAAGAAAACGGCTCATTCGGCTCCCAAACGGCTCTTCATTTATTATCATCGTCTCATATTTTACCATACCTTGGCAAATATGAATGTTTTGCATGATAAATCATTTTGCATTCAATGTTCCCCATACAAGAAGCCTACACTTCCTTAATTGTTCTTTTATGAAAGCACACATTCATACTTTGTAAATTTTAATCAACATTTTAATTAATAAAAACTACTCTCTGACTCTCTCCTCCTCTGCTGCTTGTCGCTCTGCTGTGTTTGTAGCTCCACCCCTTACACTGACGAAAATTGTATATTTATGTTTAGTGACTGTTTGTCCAAACACTCAAAATCCAAAAACATAAAAAACTTAAGGCTTCAAGGTGATGAAAGCAAAAAGTGAATTCAACTCAAATAGCCACTTGATGCGGGTTTCTGGCTTACGCAGTTCCAAAAATACAAAGAGTCAAAAATGCAGCTCTTTGTTGCTTTATTCCATATTCAGAGAAACAAGTTACAGGCGCCACAGGATTCTGCTGCTTCTATGATCTTCTGTTTTCAGTTTTTTAACTAAAACACGCGTAGCAGCTAAAATCTTATATTCTGGGCTACTGGTTGTTGTTCCTGGAAGGCTTTGGTTTTATGTGCAATCCATTAAGATTCTTACTGCCAAACTTGTAATAAAGTAATTTATTTCCAGTACAATGTCCATTGTCTTGCTATTTCCATTTATTTCTGCATTTGGAGAATCCAAATTATACATAGTATTTTCCAAAACATTTACGGGCATTAATGAAGTTCATTAATAGAGAAAAAATGAACTTGAACTGATCCCATCAATGACTTTCATTGGGAAACAACAGCTGATGAGGAATATTAACAATGGGTATTTGTAAATGACTTTCATCTCTGTAACAACCAATTTTACTTGCTATCAAAGTGAGCACATCCTTGACTTATCAATAAAACACATTTCATTTTATTGGTGAATTCTTAAACCTATTTGTTTCAAAAAGCTGTACTAGGGAAATGCATGTTTTCTATTTGTTGACCAAAAATAAACATAGGAAATTTAAAGCATTAGAAAAGATCAGAAGAAATAAAATCTTCCAGTCATTTGTGTCTTAAACTAAATAAAGCAAGCAAACAAGCAAACTTTTCTAAGTAAAGCCACTAAATTATGCCACATTTGCAGACTCTAGGTCAGAGGGAAGCACCACATTTAAAGGTCTATTTAAATCTCAGGAGCCTTTTTGATTGCTTATTAAAAATCTAAACCATAATTTTGACCTTTGTCTTAAGTTAAAGGAAGAGGAATTAAAGAAAGGCTACAAAGGAGAAAATAGAGTTAACAGTCTCATTCTTTGTGAGGTTCTGCTCCAGTTTTCCTCAGTCCTACGAGAAAGCAAAGTTCATTTGTCAAGCCTCCAAGTTGAGGTAAGTATTGCTCATATTGAAAAAATTATAAATCAAACTAAAATCAGCTAATCAAACCAGGGCTGAACTGCAGCACAAGTTCATTCTCCTCAGGAAAATACACAACGGGGCTTTTTCAGTCAGCTTCATTTTTAGCTCTAATTAGAAAAAACTGACACCCATAAAAACTGCACTCCTCTCGTTTAGCCAGCAGATGTCGCTCTTTTACAGCTTGATTCCACATGGTTACTACAGTTTGAAGTAGCCAAGCGTTCATTGTGAATCTTTGCTACACCATATGGCTGCGAAGGTGACTGTAGCTTCTCTGATACTGATGAATAACATTTTCTGTATTTAAATATTTTACTTGTTTTTTTAAGCTTTCTTGTAATTTCACTTCTGATAGAAAATAAATTATGAAACTGGACTAAATGTATTATTTTGGCAAGTGGCCAGGGGCGCCTCCAGGAACCTTGGGCCCCCTGACAAAAACTTAAATAAACACATACACACACAGCTGCTGTTACAATGTCTCGAGTCTATCTGACCCATAAAAAGCGTTACAATTTCAAAGGCTTGCATCTGCCTTGTTTTCTTTGGTCCAATACTGATAACTAGCACAATACTTACTGCTCATGAATTTTACATACAAGAGTAAAATTCAGTCTGCATACAGTATGCAAGTAGGTCACTTAAGTTTTTTCTATTAGATACTGAAATGTCTCCCCATGAGCAACAGTCAAAAGCAACGTGCAAAGTATACATAAAGTAATCCAGACTTCTCAAAAATGCTATGTAGTTGCATTTTATTCAGGCTGCAGTACATAACTTTAATAAAATATATGTTTTCTACAGATGTTTTAAAGCTGTCATGATGTCGTAGCAGTATGTTATGAGACAGATAATCTGTGAAAACAATCAATCTTCTCCATCTCCTTCCTGAATTACTATTACTGGTTAAAGCAATGCACCGTTCTGACCAAAACAACCAATCAGAACCAGTAGGACGCTCTTAGCGCTGTCAATTAGCCTCATTCATTCACTGCTAAATGTGCTAATGGTGGAGAAACAACTTATCATTACAAGAAACCGTTTATCTGCCATCATTGGTAGCTATGCTAACTAAACTGAGCATTCACAGTTTGAATCTGCACAGCTCTGTGCTATGCTAGCTGCAGCACGGCACAAATCGAGGGGGAGGAACGATGAGCAGCACCACATGAGATTGTGATTGACAGCACTAAAACTCTCCTGCCACTGACTGGTTGTTTCTAGCACTGGGAGAAGGCAGAGGAAATAGACTTTTCACAGATTACCTCTCATACCATACTGTCACAACATAATGACAGTTTTAAAAAAATATGTGAAAAAAATATTTATATAAAAGTTACATACTGCAGCTTTAACTTCACTCAGGAAAGGACGGGTCAAGAGGGACGTGGTAAAAGGTACAAGTTAAATATATGAATATGTTGGTAATTTTTTTCCTTAATTCATTAAATGCTAGTGAAAAGGAGGTAAACAGTAATCTGTAATTAAGCTAATTATGCTAAATGATTAATCTCACATAGTCTACCCACCTCTCTTGGAGAAAAACTGGGTTATAAATTAACACTCTTGCCTTTTTCTCTCTCTCCCTCTTTTTTTTTAAACCTGATTTTATAACTTTTCTTAGCAGCAGAGTAACTGCCACAATCGTTTGTGTTTCCTACTGACTGACTGAACGAATTATTTAACGCAAACAGGGGAGTTCAGGGCAAATATGAATGTGTGGTTTTTGATCTGGGAGTGGGAACATTACATTTTTACTGCTAAAAACAATCTTTGAAAATACAATATGATTAATTTTGTAATTGACAGGGCACCGTGTTTTTTTGTTTTGTTTATTTTCTATGAACAATAAATAAATACATAAATTATGGAGGGCCCCCTTGTGGTCAGGGTTCTGTCTGTCGGTCAGACTTGTTTTCACACAGAGGTTTGAAGGTGTCAAAGCACTGAGCAAAATTCAACCTCAAAATGTGGCCTTCTAGTTTTGTGGATGGGGAGGAGGGATAGTTGCAGACTGACCCACTGAGGAGGATATGTTAGGGCTCTCACCATGGTAAAGTGAGAGCTGCTACAACTTGTGGGCCCAGAGATCCTCCTCCTCTGGAACGATTGACTGCGGCCTCAGAAAGCAGCAGACCTTGAAGAAGTAGTCAGAGTACTCAATACATCGCCAAGCATCTCAGCTGTTCTGTATTGCAGTCAATTCCTTTCTTTGTTGGGGCTGACTCACGTTCTGCTTGTGGGAATAATGCACCATAACTTCTGCTTCAGTTCTCCCTTCTTCCTGCAGTGCTCATTACTGAAACAGCTTGTCTTACGGGGCTCTCTGCTGCAGATTTACTTTGTATTTCATTTCTTTGTGATATTCATCAATCCTCTCTTGGACCTCTGTAGCTGTCCAGCTGTCTGCTGATTTGCTCTTAATAGTGAAGGTTCGTTGCAGTGTCTCACAAACATCATGGCCACCTCTTTACTGATGTCACCTATACTTTTTCTTTGGCGCTGGAGACACTCCTCAGCTATATCGGCTGCTTTAATCAGTAATCAATGGGACCCTCATTAGCTCTGGGAAGTGTACTATAGAGGTCAGCGAGAGGCATGCATGAGTATGTGATGTCACTGAAGTGTTGTTTGAGAACAGCATAAATTGCTTCAGGCTGCTGAGCGAAGAGTCACTGCGTATGTCTATTCTCACTACATCTCTGGCTCTTCCCATTAACTTGTCCATAATCTCACCAGGCTGATCTGTAATGTATTTCTTTGTCAAATGCACTGACATCAACTCGACCCGCTCCAGAACAGAGCATTTGTCAGTTACTTCCCCACAAAAAGTAGTAGTTGTTGTTGTTTTGGCATCAATGTGGTGATTTGTGTGAGGTCTATTGTAGCGCCACACATTTTGTGTACATTTACATTCTCTGCACACACCTGACTGTAACCTCTCTGTGACTGAATTTTCCATCTTCCTACAGGGGAAGAGGTAGGAGGAGTTTGAACATTGTGATCAACAAACAAATCAGCCCCACCCTCACGAGTGTTACTAGGGATTCCCCTGGTATAACCTGGAAAAACCAAATAACTTCGGTGAGGTGGTGATGTTGTGGATAACATTGTTCCTCTACCAAAACTCAAAAACTCACTCTAGAACGTGTCATGCCTACTTAAATGTGTCACAAATCAATTTAGTTAAAAAAAAAAAAAAATAGAAGAACAAATCTATTCACAAAATGCTAAACAAAATGCAATAAATTCACACACACAAAATGTAAGCAGCTGATTGTTGCGTGTATTCTGGACCTGGTGGCTGCAGACAGGAGAGCTTCCCTCTGAAGGGGGGGCGCTTGATGCCATCCTCTTCTACTTTTGGATCAGAGACGCTCGGCCTAATTGGACGTCGTCATTCTGTGTTTGAGAGTGTCACGAGCAGTGATTGGCCGTTCCGGATGTTGGCGATGCACTGGCGGATGGTGAGTGTGGAGATTTGCCGTGCAGACTTAAGAAAAGAGTGGTGAAAATCCGTCAGTGTGCCAGAGCTGAGCTCAACAGCAAACACAGCCAATAGGTCACCGAAGCGCGCTGGACCGTCTGTTAGGCAGGTTGAATATCCACGTCTGTAATTCTGTCTGCTGACATATTTGGACACAGATGTATTTTTATGAGTGCAGGTAGAACACACTTGTTTTTTCAGAGGCATTGATGGAAGAACAGCGGGACCTAAACAGCACGGACAGCAGCGAGGGAGAGAGCGTTTCCCCGTCGCTGGGCATCCTGCCTCTGCAGGCCGGCCCACAGACCAACAGAACAACAAACTTCTTCATTGACAACATTTTGAGGCCGGATTTCGGATGCAAGAAGGAATTCGGTCTGAGTCCGAGAGAGAAGGCGCAAAGCTCTGGTCGGGGGCGGCTTCACCCGGTTCTTGGCAGGCCGTTTTCCAGGACGCCGTGCCTGGACTCCAGCTGCAGCAGCGACAGCACTTCATCCTCCACCGTTTCTGCGGCCAGTGGCACAAAGTGCAGCAGCAGCGAGAGAGTCACGGCCACCGTGGGCTCTGATGAGAACAGCGAAGAGTTAAAGTACGAGGAGAAGGATGAGGAACGTTCTGCCTCCTCGCCGGTGGTGATGAACGGGACCGGGACCCCCACACCGGAGAGCCAGGCCCTGCTCTGGCCCGCATGGGTCTACTGTACCCGGTACTCTGACAGGCCTTCTTCTGGTAAGACGATAGATTCACGAACAGATTCAACATTGATGTAAAATATGTTAGAACAGGACATCGATTTTGTTTTTTTTAGATATTTAATTTTGATAAAAACAAACCACATACATTTACACAGACTTTATAATAAATACATTAGATTTATAGATTTTCACTGAAAGATACAACTCTACAATAACCCCATAAAACATATATATATATATATATATATATATATATATATATATATATATATATATATATATATATATATATATATATATGTTTGTATTATCTTCCAAAATAAACATATTTTTGCTTATTTATACTCTAAAATTACTCCTCAATTAGAATTTGGAAGAGGTCTAAATAAAATAAAATAAATTAAGAAGAAAACCAAGCTACAAAGGAACACTATAATTACAGTAAAATGGTTTTTAAAACGCCATTTAATTTGATGCAGCTTTTCATCAAACCTGAATCTTCTGTTGTTTGTTTTTTGTCCCAGTGTAATATTGTGCGTGTGTGTTTTAAAAGATCAGTTTTTCAGCTGAATATGTGTAATGTAGTCTTATTTTAATTTTATTTTATTAAGTTTGTTTGATAGGAACAGACAAAGGTTAACATACACAAACTGAATAAAACAGCATTCAGCAGCTCTCTCAATTTATAAAACATGTAATGTATTAATGATTGTGTTCAAATTTATTAACTGAACTTCACCTAATTTGACCCTTAAATACTACTACTACTACTACTACTACTACTACTAATAATAATAATAATAATAATAATAATAATAATAATAATGATGATGACATGCTTGGCTATACATTAAACACATACATGCAGATAGACTTTTCTCAGTGTGGTTCGTCAGACAGGTGGCTTATGCTGTTTCTGGCTCTCTGCCTGCTTTTCTTGCATATTTCACCACACAGTGTTGCTAATATTGGATCAGAATGTAGAGAGTGAAAACGAGTAGCAACTACTAAAATTAAGCAAAAAAGAAAAACAAAAGCTGAAAGCTAAAGTTGGAATGGTAAAACGAGTAGGAATTCCTGTTTTTTTCCCTCCGTTTTGAAACCATAAAAATCTAAATGAATTTCCTTTTTATGCCGCTGGTTTTACCTTTGAGATGAATCACTAAATTCAATAATAATAATAATAATAATAATAATAATAATAATAATAATAATAATAATAATAATAATAATAATAATATCTGGTAAGTAAAATATTAATTATAGAGTAAGCGGCATTTATTTAAGCCTGTTTTATATCCTTTAAAGAGACGAATGAGTTTGTTTTGTTTCAACATCTTTGGACCTTTGGACTCGAGCCGTCTGGGGACAGAACCATGTCGTGGCTTCATGTTTAGTCGAAGGCCTCTATAGTTTTAGGTCAGATCCGTTCCGGGGTTTATAGTACCGGTTCCGCTCAGTTCAGTTCTGAAGGGGCGAAGCGGTGTGTCCAGTGCTGAAACCGAAAAACTTACTGAACGCAGAAGGTGCGTAAAGGTATTTTCTCTTATTCTTACGTGATTTGCGTTGCGCTGTATATTCATATTTTCGCTCTGCTGCCACTTGCTCTTACTGCAGGCCCAAGGACGCGGAAATTGAAAAAGTGTAAAAGCTGCAAAGAAGACAAGCGGCCGCGCACGGCCTTCACGGCGGAGCAGCTCCAGAGGCTGAAGACCGAGTTCCAGGTGAACCGCTACATCACGGAGCAGCGGCGGCAGGCTTTGGCCCGGGAGCTCAACCTCAACGAGTCTCAGATCAAAATCTGGTTTCAGAACAAAAGGGCCAAGATAAAAAAGGCCAGCGGCTTCAAGAACGGGTTGGCGCTGCAGCTGATGGCACAGGGACTCTACAACCATTCAACCACAACCATCCAGCAGGACAAAGAGGACAGCGACTGAGGGGCTGAGCTGGACCCGGGACAGCGCATCACGGATCGGTGGGAGGGTTCAGTGTTTGGCTGCAGAGTTAAACCCAAGATGTTCGTCCTCTTCACCGAACTGTCGCCGATAAAGAGGAAACAAAAGACTACCAAAGATTTTCCACGGAAAGCTGAACGATAGTTTTAATCAACTTCAGGTTCTGCTGAAACCAGGACAACAGGTTCGGCTGCAATAATAATAATAATAATAATAATAATAATAATAATAATACTGCTTCTCAACAACAGATGATGTTCGGCAAATTCAGACTGACATTAATTATAAGATCCAGATGTGCCATGACTTTAACAATCAGCGAGCCAAATGCTGCTGTTAAGTTCAGTTCTGATTAGCCCAACAAACGATGGACTGCTGAATAAATAACATAAAAAGAACCTAATTAGTCCTGGGAAATGTGTTGGCCTATATTATGCTAAGAGGCTTTTTTTTTTTTTTTTTTTTTTTTTTGTAGGGCAGCAAGAGTCCCGATAAATACGGTAAAAATGCTCCGTAAATGTTCTTCGTAAGCATAAAATATTACGAATAAAATCAAATAAAAAATATAGAAAATGTCATGTTTATACGGTTTGTAATTAAATATTCTTAATATTTTGTTTATAAACGTTATGCTACAAGATAAGCGACGGTTATTTATATAAACTATTTTGTGTATCAGGACGGCTGCAGATAGAGAAGAGCAGAGAGGCAGGTTACAAGCTCAGGCTGTCAAAATAAACTCTTTTATACTCCATCAAATATTCACACAGTGACCCCATTTACCCCAGCGGATGAAACGGAATAGTCAGTCAAATTGCTGCTGTCCCTTTAGGGCAGCCACAGCGCGGGGTCTCGGTTCATCGGTCCTGCTGAGTGGAACTGCGGGATTCTTGGTAAGGAGATGAACTCACACCGTGGAACTCGCCGCTCTCAGAGATGTTGAAGCTTTGCAGAGCATGAAATTGTCTCCGTGCTTCTACATTCAGCCATTTCATCAACAGTCATCCAAATTCAAGCCTGGAACACAAATGTGCTGCAGGTGCAGCCCGATCTGTGGCTTTTCTGCCCGGAAAAGAAAAGAAATGTTCATTTCGCACCTAATGTCATCGAGTCGATCGTTCCCGTATCTGTCTGTCTCCGTTATTCTTGTTGTTACGTAATTTTTGTTGGCTACACACGCAGCTGCAAAAGACCATTGATATATACTGAATTAATTAACAAATTAAATAATTAATGCTTCAAAATCTTTCATTTAAAATGGAAAAGATTTTATTTTGAACGTCTTAAAAAAATACTTGTTTTAATGCAATCAAGTATTGATTTGAACATAGAGGAACTTTTCCAAAATAGACCTCGTGACAAAAAAAAAAAATCTTTTTTATTTTTCCACATCCTCTCAGTTAAACCAAAGAAAAATGAAGCTGATCCAGTGGACTGAGGGAAATCGAGATCTGGGTTTTTTCTTTTTACGTTACAGAAACTCAGTGGCTGGTGAGCAACATCAAACAATAAAATGATGTTTACATTCAGGGTGTTTATTACAAAACTTTTCAATGAAATGTAAATATATAACAGGAAGTTAAATGTCAGCGCACGATTAGCTTGTATGGTTGAATAAATAAATATGGTTGAGCTGTAGAAGCAGCGGGTATAGTTAAAGCCTATTTACTTATCATTCGCACGTTGAACTTTTTTTTTTTTTAACAGACATTCAGTTTTCCATTTCCACCACTGACCCATCCAGGCTGGTGGCGTCCATCACTTGGCCTTTCTTGGAAGAGGCGTCACATTGTGACCGCAATGCGGTTCCATATCAAACCTTAATGTGACTGACAGGTTTCATGGAAAGATAAAAAAAAGCCTAATTGAAAAAGGTTAATAGTGTCCCCACAGCCAGAGCTGAATGGCAGCTATCAGGAGCAAATCAAGCCAAATTAGGATAATAGGCTGGGCTGCAAGAATAAAAAATAAAGAACTGAATATTTTAAATGGTCGTTTGATCTATTGAACCCTCCTCAAGGCCGATTCAATGACACGTACCATTTTATTGAAACTGTAATTTTTTGTGTATGTGTTGCTGCCTCTTGGCCAGGCCTTCTTTGAAAAAGAGGTTTTAAATCTCAATGGGCTTTTTATACTGATAAAATAAAGGTTAAAAAATAAAATAATAAAAGCAAGGATGACCTGGGGGCCCTTTGTGGTCCCTGTCTTCAGATCAAGAACGATAAATTTGTCTCACAAATGATTCAGATGGAGACATTTTATTTATATTTTTGTTTTATTTTTTTTAACTTTTTTCAAAATTACAGTCATTTACAGTTCAAAATCTCATCGTAAGATAAAATTAAATCCTCCAATCTCATGGGTATTTATAATAAAACTGTAGGGATAAGAGTGTAAAATGATGGATGGATGGGATGTTAAAAAAGTTGAATTATTTATACAAAGTTTGGTTTTGCTTAATCTGCTTGACAAAATTAAATTCACTTTACTTTGACTTTCCTTTTCATGTAACGAAATCAGAAAGTACTTTAAACAAAGAACAGTCTTGCTTGATAAACCTAAATAAATCATGCAAATAGTTGCATTAACTTTTTTAAGTAGATGGGGCAGAATATTGATATCAGTGTTGCTCTGTAAATAAGCTGAAATCAAACACAAAAATGACTCAAATCCTCAAACACCTATGAAGCATGGGCTGTTTTCCTCATGACATTAGTATATTTTGCAAAAAAAACAAAAAAAAAAACAAAACTGAAAATCACTCTTTTCTCAGAAATTGAAGTACAAAAACCATTAAAATTACTTTAATGTCATAAACATGACACAGAGAGAGAGAGACGACATTAGCATCCATCTTACCAACACAGGGATCTTTTGCCTGGCTGCTTTGTCAGTCAAACATGCCTTGTGCCGTGTCATTTATTAAAGTCTCACCAGCTATAATATTTTGGAACCAACAATAAAAATAGTATAAAACAGAAATAGATATACTATAATGCAAAATATAAAGCAAAAAGACTCCAACACTCCGTCCATGCAGTCATTTCATCAAGAACAAGGCAACGTCCAGAGCACTGCAGCTCTGATTTGCTAGTTTTTTGGCTTTTACATTTGCATTTATGAAACTGCACCATGTTCATCTTCAGGACTGACCCGCTCCGGCATAAGATTGTTTTTGGTTTGCTGAACAGTGTGCAAACTATCACTGCTTCCCATGTTTTTGTCAAGTTTGAGCAGAGAAACAAACAAACAAACAAAAACAAACAAACAAACAAACAAACAAAAACAAACAAACAAACAAACAAACAAACAAACAAACCAACATAAGTCAGGAACTGTTTCAATCAAGTAATTTCAAGTTTTAATAAAATGCTTTTGGTGCTTAACAAATTATAGTCAGCTTTATTAAATTGCACTCACTAAAATTTAACAAATTAATAAATTTTTTTTTAAATTTGCATATAATTATAATGCAAGGAGAACTTACTTTATAATAAAGTTAGATTAGTATGTCATTACAACTTATTCAAAATTAAGTTACTCAAGTTGTGTAAACTTAAGATGTATATACCATACTAACATTTTTGAGTTGTGTAAACTTGATTTTCATGAGGCAACAAGTTTGCAAACATTTTTAAATTAAAGTCCACTTATTTGTTTTACAGTGTAGTTATTTATTCAATTAAGGCAATCCAAGATTTTCCAAGATTTTCCTAATGTGTTCAAGTTAGCTGGACTAACTTGATGTGGCTAAGTTAAGTACAAGGTAGTATGAATGAGATTATGGATTACGGGATCCATAATCTCATTCATGGAATATGACTGTAATTTGATTCCACAGATGTTAATATTAAGACTATGGTGATATTTTCCAAAAACAGCTTAATTTTAATAAACTGCAGGATTTTAATAGCAGCCTATTTCACTGTTTGGGTCAGATTGTATTATTTGACAAAATTAATGAGCAACATTAAGATTAACTGAGAAAGGTTAACGCTATGAAAAAAATGTATAAGTTAGACTTTGATGACATTTGCTAAAATATAAACTGGAGATTAAAGCTATTCCAGTTTAGATATCCCAGTGAATAATTTGACAATGTCTCAGGAAACCAGTAAACTTTTGTGTAGAAACTGTGAAGAAGTTGGTATTAATGGAAACCCTGACACAAGAACAATATTTGAATTGTTGTGTGGCGCAGGGGTTAAGCACAACCCACATATGGAAGCTCCAGTTTTCAATGTGGCTGTCGTGGGTTCGCTTCCCGGTCTTCCCCTTTTCTTATTACTCACTTTTTTTTGTCAATTTACTACCAAATAAAAGCCTCTAGAGCAATTAAAACCTTTATTCCCCCCAGAAACTACTGGCCAAATTCATTTTAAGACATTAGATGCTACAACACCAGCACAATTCGCAGAATATAATTTACTTTTATTTCAAAACATCGAACAGCACCGACAGCAATATACAACAAAGGTCATACATTCATGGTACTTTGCACTGAAGGTGAAGTGTGCTTTCAAAGTTCATTGGAAGCGGCCATGGATGGTGATCACTGATGGTGAAGTGTCTTTGGTGCTGCTCTTGTTTTCGCCAACATGAAGGAGGAAGACTTCCAGCCTGGAAGGAAAAACAAGAAATATAGCAGAAACATTAGGATAATAAATAAAATAATCACACCCACCTGTGTGTATCACCGTCATATTCATTCAAATTACTCTGCCCACCTGGTTTACAAGATAAAGCATAAAAAAGTCAGAAATAATTACTAAAGAAATTAATCAGCTTATAGAAAAATTTTGGACAGCATTAAAAGTTGTGCCAACTTGTCTGAAGAAATGTGTTGGAGTCATAACAGGCTTCAGTCACCAACATGACACACTAACAAAGAAAAAAAATATCTTGGCAGTTTTTAGATGTGCCACAGGTACAAAACACCAGAGTCAAATGGCTTAATTGCCTCCCAATTGTGTAGATATGTTCTCCAGAGTCCTGCTAATCACCTAATTATTGTATTCAGGTGGTGCAGCAGCGGCACATCTAAATGTTGCAGGACAGTGGTCCTCCAGAACTGGAGTTTGACACCTGT